TCGAAGATATAGGAGAATGATGGTATCGATGAATGTTAGTGATTTTGTTTGATTTTTATTGTAGTGTTTTATTAAGAGATAGAATTTTTATAGTTTGAGAATTTTGGTGATCGTGTGTGTTGTATATTTATGTGTGATATTTGAAGTGTAGTTGTTAGTATGATAATTGATGGAAGTGAATTTGAATGGTTTTGGAGTTATTGAATTTGTCTACGTGGTCGATATTTCCGTTCGCTGTAGAGTGAACAGGTGAACGGTGAACGCGAGGTTGCGACAAAGGGAAATGAAAGGTCGAGAAAGGAGAATGTGTTGAGAAAAATGGCTTACTGGTCGATTTTGTTGGGGAATGACGAAAATAGAGTCAGTGGAACCGAGGAGACTACGGAAGAACCAAATTAATTCTAGTTTAACGAACACGGAATTTGAAAGAATAACGGAGAATTTCAATAAAAGAAAGCTATCCAGGGAACAATGCGTTGTTCTGGAGAATAATGTTTCCTCTTGTTCGAACAAGATCTTCATTATGGTTGACCTTCTCCTAGTTAACGTCTTGTTGTAAACAATAACTGCGGTGTGTCTTTGTTACATCGGAAATGGTCAAAATTATATTGAGTGTACCGACGCAGCAAGTGCTAATTATAGAGAGAAATGAATGGAATAGAAAGAAAAAATTTTACTTAAACACTTAAATATTCAATTTGAAAAATTAAATACTTGAACGCTTGTATATTTAATTGAAAAAATTAAATACTTAGAAACTTGAATGTTTAATTAAAAAATTAAATATTTAAATACTGAAATATTCAATTTAAAAAAGTTAAATACTTAAAGACTTGAATATTCAATTAAAAAAATTAAATACATAAATACTGAGATATTCAGTTAAAAATATTAAATATTTAAATACTGAAATATTCAATTAAAAAATTAAATGCACAAATACATAAATATTCAAATCAATATATTCTTTCGTGTAATAAAGTAGATGCAAAGAAAATCCAGATTTAACAGATACTATTTCTTCTGGAAACGTTATCACTAGAAAACTACTAAGCAGGAATGTGCCAATACTCTTTTGTTCCATTGCAGTTCGATAAATATTTTTCGCGACGGCCGAGAGACGGAATGATATCCGTCCGCGATACAATGGCGTCACAGTGTAAACGGTCTCGGTCGTTCCTGTGCCGTTGACAATACGCTTCGCGGAATAAGACAAGCGCGCGTGTATGAACAATATCGATAGGAACAATTAGCCGGGGATTGGGCACGCGGTTTGTGACGCAACGAGCGCGTTGACACGATTTAACCCGTAAGCGAGCGGTCCGGGATTGAGATGATCGTGAGCGACAAGGATCGAGGACAGAAAAGTAGTGGCATGCGTGAGTATTCAGAGAAATTCGTCTGTGGAACACGCCGACTGAAGCGACGGGCTAATCGTTTAAAAGCGTTGAAAAACAAGGAACGTCCGGAAATATTAATTGACAGAGCACGCTTTCCACGAGTGTTCTAATTACTTCTTCAGCCCGATCGAAATAAAACATCGTGCAAAATATATAGAAAGTATTGGGATAAAATATTCTCTTATTTTTAACTATATAATATTTTTTATTGAAGTAATTATCTTTTTTATATTCCAAGAGTACGCTTTCCACGAGTGTTCTAATTATTTATTCAGCCCGATTGACAGAAAGCATCGTGTAAAATATATAGAAAGTATTGGAATAAAATATTCTCTTATCTTTAACTATATAATATTTTTTATTGAAGTAATTATCTTATTTATATTCCATTGCTGAAAGTGTCTACTCATAATTATCTCCAACCCGAAGGAACACATTAAACATACTTACATTTCGCTGAATGGAATATTAATGTCGCAATTATAGTTCATGTGTTCCCGGCAGTTGTCCACGGAAGCACGGTTCGAAATGGGAAAAATAATTGGTGGATTTCTATTCTTCAGGCATAGCATGGAGCTTCCGGTTCCCATCTATGGGCACCCTGCAAAATCTAGGCGCCAGCGGCCGTCGTCGGAAGAGGAACGGCATATCCTCTTCAGCTTCTTGTAAGGAGCTCTATCAGAAGCGGCACACGGTTCATCTGCAACCGGAAATAATTATTCAAAAGCAGCCCTCCCTCATCGTGACGCCTCTGTCACCGGAAGACCTGCCAGAAGAGAGCCGGAGGTAACAGCATGTCAAATTAACCACGAACTTACCGTTTCACACGCGAACGACAAGTGTCTCCCATTCGAGTCACGGATCATCCTGTATTTTAATTGCAGTGAACCCCTTGATTGTCAATATTTTGAAACTCGTAAATTAGAAGTCTGCAATGTTTGAAAATTGGTACCTCAATGATCTTCATTTATAAAATTGCTGATGTTAGAAAATTAGTACCTCAACGATCTTCATTTATAAAATTACTGATGTTAGAAAATTAATACCTCGACGATCTTCATTTCTAAAATCGCTGATGAACCCTGGACCATACCATGTTTAAACGTTTCAAATTTCAATAATCCTTTTACGAATTCTTTATTCCTCAGAATGATCTTAGAACAGATTTTCCAATCGGTACCACCAAGAAGTAAAAATCCCACGTTCAATAGGAACAATACAAAACCAAACAACTCATTCCTATTCCCAGATTACATAAAACGTCAACAACTTAATTACCGATCTGTTCCGTAAGAAAATTAACGAACCAACGACCTTCATTTCTAAAATCGCTGATAAACCCCAGACCATATCATGTTCAAACATTTCAAATTTCGATAATCCTCTTAAAAATCGCCAACATATAAGAATTCATAATTTCAAGCAAATATTGTACACTTTGCAAACCGTTCTACGATTATTTAACTATTTAACGAAATCTACCGGTCGATCTATCGATCCATCGCCAATTCAGGGAACCCAGAGCTCCGAGAACCCAATCCTTTCAGCGACCCACAGTTCCACGATGCATCGGCATTCCCCGTGTCCCGGGCCCTGAATGCAACACAGTCTTCGAGATACCGATCTACAACACCTTTTCCCTCAACCCCGTACGTCCGTGCATAATATACCGCGGTAAAAAGAGAACGAAACGGAACACAGACCTCAGGAGTCGAGGCCTTGAAAGGACTTTTCCACCGGAGTCGAGATTCTCCTCTTATAAGTTATGAATTAGCCTGTCGGAGGGTATGCCGGGTGCAGGAAAATAATAGAGGCGGCGTGTCCCGAACCGGTTTTCCTCGGTGTTAGCCTTCGAAATAACGCCCTGGCGGGAGATCAGAGAGCGCGGGAATCCCATAGAAACGGAACGGGGGAAACTGTGAACCTTGTACCTCTTTCGTAATCCTTTTGAGAATACACCGGGCGCTTTGACACGATCGTTGTCCCTGTCGTGTCGATCGGGCTGCGAGAGATTTATCGGAACGTCTGGAATGGCGATAAGACAATGATCGTTTACAGTCGAGCATTTGTCATTCAATTAGTGCGCGATTAAATCTGATACTTCTCGGAACGTCTCGAATTCTTGAGCGAGGACTTCGAAGGATGTCGCGAGAGATACTTCATTGAATGTATTGGTGTTTGAATATATTTCGTGAGATGTGTTACGTCATGAAATGTAGAGGTTTATATTCACGTTCGATGATAGAATCGATAACGAAGGTACGGCTGAATATTTATTCATTGTAACATAAGGCTTTTATCACCATACGTTCATTCAAACTTCGACGCGTACACGTATATTTTCGTCCGATGCATCTGCTTGTCTACGTCATGCAGAGCAAACGCGCGTCTACATATTTGCAATGCTTTGTAATCTTATCGTGTCCTTCCATTTTAATAGTACAGTCCTGTCATTGATCACATTGCAAATAGAGTCGCGCGAAGAATGTCAAATATTGTATCAAGATATCCGTTACACCCTTTCAAGAAATTTCTTGATACACTGTTTCCCTAGGGGATAGATCTGTTAGGGTATCGTCTTAAGTTGCGCTGTTAATTAGAAATATTAGCCACAGTAGGTTCCAGTTGTCTTCGGTTAATTTCAATGTTTCATGGACTCCTGTTCATCGAATTCATAGGGGTCAGCCGGGGTTATTTATGCAGAGCGTTCGGGGCGGCACGGGTCGGCCATATCGCGCAGCCGGCCGATGCAAATGCAGCCTGCAATCGTTGCAGGTTTGCATGCGAGATCCTGTCGCAATGACATTAGAGCTCGCAGGAAGATAAGGCACGCGGTTTACTTCTGCGAATGGCACGCTATCCGCTCGCATCTGAACCCTTTCCGTTGCTATTTATAACACCGTCGACTCCCAGAAAATTGTCCCCTCCTCCCCTCGACGCACTACGTAACACCAATTTGCAACGGTGACTGCTGCATCCCAAATATAGTCTGAGAATGCAATCCCCCATTCGAGGAACCTTTCCTTTATTCATGAAAAGAGCATCCTACAGTTTCTTCGATGTTCGAACATCGCACTAGAAAGTACCCTAATCTTCTGTATTATTAATTTCAATCTTCGATTCCGTATCAGGAGAGAATTTCTTGTAAACGCCGTAGGAGTATGATTATATTCACATGGATTAGCGAATTTAAAATAAAAATTGTCATAAGTAAACCAAGGATGACTCAAAACGTCGATTAACTTAATTTCATTCTCGCACTGAGTTCGTTGAAATGAAGTCGCACTTAATACTAAAACCGATCAGTTAAATTGAAATAGTTTTTTTAAAGTTCCTGTATAGAAACTCCAAGAGTTCTTCATCAAGAATTTCTCAGGGAAACATCTGTTATCCTAATAATTGCAGACAGAAGACATCAGGAATAGGTTACTTTTATCAGTCTAGTAGGTTAAGTGTTAACACTAAAGCAGTTAAAGTGACTTTTCAAAATTTCTTTATAAAAACTCTAAGAGTGCACCTACCAGAACTTAAACTGCTTTACAATTCAGTGTGCGTATTTCTAAATCAGTTTCATCAAGTATTTCTCAGAGAAACATGTTATCTTTTTAATAATTGCAGACAGAAGACATCAGGAATAGAAGACACTTAGCTATGCAATTTTGCTAATTGCTATAGTACTTAGAAATATGAAATTTCATTCAAATTATCTATTTAAAATATATCGCATAACAATATAGATATCTGAGTGTTAATATGTACAGCAATATACGTTGATCTCACTGAAAATCTCCACCCGAACAATTCAGTTCTCTGAAAAGTCGCCGGTACGCAATGTGTTAAGACTCCTTTCCTGTTCCTTGATCAATCGATCCTTCGACTTCCCCGAACAATAGGAACAAAACAAGAGCACAGATGCGTTTTATGGGTTCCTAGACCCTTATCGAACGCTTTTGTCCGACGCAGGCGCGCGGGCACCCTCCGTGCAGCCTCCCTACCCTACCCAAACAGATCAATAACCCCCGCCGCCCCGGTGCTATCGACCAAACGTAACGCCGGCTGATAAGGGACCGAGACCCGAGCCGGCCGGCGTCGACGCTCCTCCGAAAAAAAATCGGGATAATCTTTCGCCGCGCGGTCTCCGATCGAATGCTCGGTGTCAACCCGACACTGAACACTGCTCGAGGACGAAGAAAACGGAGGCGTGGGTGAGAACGCGACGGGTGCGTCGCAGTGACGTACGAAGTGCATACGAATCTCGATGTACTTTCGCGCGACGATCCTAGGGACAGATGATTTCCGGAAATTATGAGTTACGTTGAAGATTATAATAAACGCCATTGAAATTCGATACTTGTATTTAATATTCTATTCGATGTATGTTTAATGAGACTTTTGAAGGCATTAAACATGCATTTTGTATTAACCTCCATTGTACAGAACGATCGAATTCACCTAATAACGACATGCATAATACCTATATCCCATATTTATAATTCAGTCAATTTTCATAACATTCTCACTGCAATTTTCTCCCCTACCTTTGACTCGTAAATAAAACAATGTCCTTCATATCATCCCCATAATCAATTTCTACTTCACTATCTCTTCCAAAGTTGCGAATTCATTGAAAAATCACGCTCCACGAGTAAAAATTCCTCGAAACTAGAACCAGCATGAATATTAAATACTACTCTCCCCCATCCCCCCTGCGTCACAGCGACGCATCTCGCAAGGAACTCCGCTAGTTCCCCTCTGAAAATCCCCGGAATAAAAAAACTAATACATGGTGTCCAGAAGTCACAGAATCGTCTGTCAGAGGAAGAATGAAAATATTTTCGTTGACGCGGGAAGCGGTGTCGCCCCCCGTTCTATTAATACCCCACGAGGGCGCCTGCGGGGTCCTCCGAAAATACGGCCCTGCTCGCGTCGTGGGTTTCCACGCACATAGTTCAGTGGGGTGCGCGCGCTCGGCCGGTGAGCCGTGTGGCCAAACCCTATCCCTTGCCTCGACGGTCTCTCGCGTGTCCGAGGAAAACATTTTCCCGGCGATCGGCTTGAAAAAAACGTCGCTCCCGCGCCTCCGATCGAGGGTGATTGTACATGCACGCGGCGGGGTAGGGACGGGGCGCGAGATGTGAACGGTGCCACGGTGAAAAATCACTTTTTCGACGCAGGTCGTCGGAGGTGAGAGCCGAGGAAGAGGAGACGGCGGACAGAAGGGTGGACCAGGACGCGGGTTCCGGAGAGGCTGCCGGGAAAAGGGTTGACAGCGGCGACTATTCAAATTTACCCATGGTGAGTGGCTCTGCATTTTTCAAATGTTGCTGCACACTGGTTTCCGTTCGGCTTCTTTCGGAGGTTTGGGCATGGGTTCGGGATCCGGTGTTTTCAGGGACAACACCCCTTGTGTACAGGGAGGAAGTGACTAATGAGAATCTGTGAAGTTCGGGAAGTATCGGAAGCCTGTTAACCGTTTGCGGAGGGAGGTTCTTTAAAGTATACGGAACCTTGGGCAGACCTTGCTGAATTAGATATCGAATGCTTAAATAATGTAGAATAAGGAAAGCGTGTGTTGGTTTTTTGATGATTGAATAGTTAGATCGTTTGTTTGGAAGTTGGTATTACGAATATGGAAGTTTGATCGGTAAGGACACTCGTTCGAAAAGGGTTAATGAGGATTTTGGTGGGATTTTGGTAATTATTTAACTGTTGATTGAAAAGGATGTGTTTCGGAGGTTTGAAGGTTTTAGGGTGTGGATTGTGATTTGTGGTTGAAATGGATTTGTGGAATTCGTACGAGCTATTTCTGTAGTATTAAGGAATGAGGCTTCGTGGTTTGTGGATGTTTGGAGCGAAGATGTTAAGAGAGGTTTGGATAAATAGTTTGTTTCAATGATAAGAGATGGAATTAGATATTGTTATGATTATAGGAGATTGAATTGATTTTATCGATATAGCGACGATAGAACGTGGTCATCTTCGAGACGCGGTATTGGGGAATGAAGATATCGATGATCGCTTTGGAGAAACTCGTCAATCGGCTAATTCAGCGTGATCATAATTGGATCGTTCGTACGCAGCCGTCTTCGCGATCCGGGTTTCACGTGCGACAGAGTGTGTCGGTGATAAGTCGCGCACACGAACGCGACGATGATCTCTTTAGTGGCGAAGCACTCAAGGCTGTTCTCGTTAAGCCAATTCCGTGGTCTCGCAGAGTCGAGACACTTCGTCATTGATCCGTACGACTGTCTGCGAGGCTTACGAGGCAATCACAAAATGTTCAATTACAATTGTACCTCGCATCGATCGAGAGTGCAACGGGCGTTACGGCGACCGCGTGTTTCGCGTGGATCTCAGATATTCAGATAAGATACGGGAAACTTGACATTTCTCTACAGTGATTTATTCAATCGAATATTGACGATGTATATTATAAAGCTTGCTGAATGATTCGAGGATTGAAAGTAATTTATTCCACGAGCAATTATGAGAGGTTCGATTATTATTTCTAAACTTCGATCAAAAAAATTACGAAGATAGAAATGAGTGTTGTTCAAGGTTTAGTTCGAAAGAATAGTAGTATTCGTAAATTATAGAAAGAAAGTTCACGTTAGCACGAATATTGTGGTCTAGTAATGAAGTAGGTGTTCTCATTTCGAATCGCTGGTTTCTAGCGTGCATCATAGCCTACTGATTTAACATTCTCGGTCTGGGATGTCTAATTTAGGAGCCGCCAGAAGAGTCGACGCGTAAACTCTTGGAGCGGGAACTTCGACTTCTGGATCCGAGGGACCTAAGATCTCACGCTTGGTACCATGGCAGCACGCTGCGGGGCGGTAGAAAAGGAGCCGAGGCGGAAGTGCCGAACGACGGTGACTTTTTGGTTCGCGACTGTGCCTCCCAACCCGGAAACTATGTCCTCACGGTCCGATGGAAAGGTCAGCCTCTTCATTTTGTCATTAACAGGGTAAGTGATATTCGATAGACGACGTTTCAAACATTTGCAACAGCTGTAACTGTCTGGAATTCAACAAGAAAATTATCTGATCCAAAAGAATGGAATTGTGTAATCTCTAAAGATTGCATAAACATTCACTAGAAAACAAAGTCTCCATTTTACCTTTAGCTCCCTAAAACTTCTAGCAAAAGAAATACTTAACCTTTACCTTCATGATGTTAATTATTGAAGTAAATGAATCAATCATTCCAGATAAAATAGCTGAACATATTACCAAAGATATACATTTAGACGATATCTCTAAAGATTGCATAAACATTCACTAGAACTTAACAAAGTCTCCATTTTACCTTTAGCTTCCGAATACTTCTAGCAAAAGAAATAACCTTCATCTTCATGATGTTAATCATTGAAGTAAATGAATCATTCAAGAAAAAATAGCTGAACATACATATACATACATATACATTTAGACGATCGTACTAACGACCCTGTATGCTTTCCAGGTCGTGATCCAACCGGAAACAGTCTACGAAAGAGCGCAGTACCAATTCGAGGACGAAGCATTTGACACAGTTGCGGACTTGATAACATTCTACGTCGGCAGCGGTCGGCCCATCAGCCAGGCAAGCGGTGCTAGAATAATCACGCCGAAGCCTAGATCAGTCCCTCTGACCAGCGTCGCAGCGTCCGCGAACAGTCAACACTGTTCCAGCCCCTCCTCGTCATCCCTATCAACTGGGTCGCCACCTCGCTTACCTCGCAAGCAGCAACGCAGCCACTCGTTGACGGCCCAGCATCATCCAACGGATCAGCACGACGTTCGCCAAGCATTGAATCAACAAACAACACCGCACATGCCAGTTCAATCCAGCACTCTGCCTCGAGTACCGCCAATTCAGAACCAACCGCCATCTTGCTCCCTGTCGCTGGGCCGTCAGAAGATCACCAGGGTCATCTCCGACCCAGCACTTCAACAGCAACAACAGCCTATCCTTCAACCGCCCAACTTGAACCACCAGAACTCTCTAGGATCAGCTCCCCCGAAACCACCTAGAATACCCTATGTCCCCAATCATCAACACCACGGGCATCATCATCATCACCACCATCACCACCATCACCAAGGCTACCAGGCATCGGGTAGCGACAGTGGAAACGGATCTGGGGACAGCGAGTTCGAGACTAACAACTCTGGAGGCACTAGCAACCCTTCAGGGTCTGCTCCTATCAAAGGAGTAGTCATCAGGAGCCATTACGCGACTAGCAACGATGGCATCAACGGAAACAATGGCAACGAATACGAGCTATCCGCGGAGGAGCAGTTGGTCGTGGCTGTGCCATCTTTGGAAATCTCTACAGCGCTGGACATCGAAGGATTTACTACTCTTTTGCTGCCTACTGGAGACCACAGGCCTCTCGACCCCACTGCGTTGAGAGGTGTCTCTGGAATGCTTCACGATTCGGCGCCCAGAGTGTTGGCTTCTCATCTGACGAAGATCGATTTGGAGCTGGCACTTCTGCCCGGCGCCGGGAGCAGGAACGGCTTGAGCGGCATCGAGTTAGCTACCTTGCCTCACGGCAGGCAGGTCAGAGTAGATCTGATCGAAAGATCTGAGTGCTTGAAACTGGTGGTAGCTGTGACGGTGTTAGCCGGAGCCACTGCCATCGAAAGAGCCGCGACTATCAGCAAGTGGATCAAAGTGGCAATTGACACGAAGACTGCGTTGGGCAATTTATACGGGTTCTGTGGCGTGATGCTGGGCCTGTGTCTGCCGCAGATACAGAGGCTAGCGAACACGTGGCATCTGCTCAGGCAGAAGCACACGGACGAGGCGTTCAGCTTCGAGGCGAAACTGAGGCCGACGTTGCGAGCTATGAACGAGTGCACAAATCCGCAAGCCCCGAACACCACGCTGCCACATTTGTTGCCTATTGCCTTGCTGGGTGAGAGAGGGCCCGAGGACGTGTTGGGTGTGTTTTGAGACACTTATCTTTCTTGTAACTTCTATAATCTCGGATAATGACTGATAGCGTGTATGATTGCAATGGAAAGCAAAAATTAAAGAAGACACTTTCTAGATATAAATCGTTATCAGTTTTTTATCGACTTAACAAGTTTTATCTGGCTATTATTTGATTACATAAATGATGACTACTGTGAGATTTATTTGAATAACACGTCTATATATAATTTCGTGTATTTCATAATGAGTAGTTAACATAAATATTATTTTCGTAGGAACGGCTGCGCCTTCGAGCCTAACAGCCGCCATCTTGTCGCCGTGGGAGAACTCCGCGCCGGACTGCGGCCTCTCGATCGTATGGTCCCACTTGGAGTCGGCTCGCAAAATGGCGGAGAACCTACCGTTGTTCCGCAGGAACGCGGAGATCGCTCTGGAGGGTTCCAGAAGTGACGAGTTACTTTCCGACGCGTTTCGAACCGAATTTCATATAAAATTTCTATGGGGCAGTCGGGGATCTACCGTGGCGCCGGAAGAGAGACACCTAAAGTTCACGCAAGTCCTCGACGCCATGTTCGACAAGTGTTCATCAAGCGAGGTGGCGGCCTAAACGACCAAAGCATAAATTATTTTGTATAAAACTGCGATCGGCGAACTCGTGCAGCGTAGACACGAGGACAAATGAATTCTTCTGTAATATTTCTGTCAGTAGCCAAGTTCAGTTGTTAACTTCAATTTTTGTACGTGAGTGTACGGATATTCTGCGAATTTCTATAATCTTTTCCGCTGAAAACAGTGAGTCAGGCGATAAGTATTCTCTCTTCTAAAATTATCGTTGCATGTGCTACTTCTAGGTTACCGTTAGTCATGTATTTACTTGTACATATAATTGGAAAACGATTTGCTTCGTAAAGATAAGCGCTTCGTCTTGTACTTTCCGAATGATTCTCAGTCTTTGTAAATAATTTCTGTGTTTCAACGAAGCGTTCATTCAAATGTATTCAAATTTCCAAGGTTCGTTATTCTGAGTGAAACAACTGAACTCCAAGTATAAGCTATTCTTCTAGTGTCCACGCTGTATGACGCTTCGCGTGGATCGTTGATGATTTTTACGAACTTTTTTCGAGAACAAACAAGAAGGGACCCGAACGAATTTCCGTTTCGCTTGATTTACGTGTAAATTATGATTATGTAATTATGTAATTAAATAACTGTAATTAATTGTAATTCTCACGATGAGTAGATGCATATTTTATTTAGCGAGGCTCGGCGACGAGCCTGTGTATACTTTAGTCCGACGGTGTTCGATTTCGAATCGCGCGCCACGACCAGCCATTTCGCGCAGTACTCGCTCGACCGGCGAAACGTTCTCTTTTTTATTGAACCGTAGCTCGTAAGGGAATCCGTGATCATGATTTTTCTATCGAGACGAACGATTCACGATTTAAATCAAATTCGGTCGTAACATAAATACGTTCGGATATATTCGACACTGTTGCGTATCATTGATCACATGAAGCAGTAAACTAATACCGTTTAAATTGGCTAGAAGTTGCTTTCTGTTCACCGCAATTACGAGCATTCGCAATAATTACATTCGAAATATGTTTAATATTCACACTCGACCGTATTTATGTTACTATCCGATAAAAGGAAACGGTGACAACGAAACGGAGGAAGAGGAAACGCCCAAAAAACGCGTTCGTAGCAATAGATCGATCGTGTTCACAGCCGAGAAACAAACAATCAAAAGTGTAGCATTAACGCGACTGGAATTATAATCACAATCTTAACAATAAAACGTGTCATATTTAGCGGATAACGATTATCGAGCGTATCAAGGATGAATTGTTAATTAACGACTCGCATTTACCGTCTCGCGACAAACAGTGACGATATAATAATCAAACTCAGTTGAGGTATCATGTACTTAACTTTAACCGATTCTATATTCGGCCAATAAAAAAACGTTGTAAATGTTGTTCACGTTTGTTCATACTTAATATAATATACAAAATGAAAATCAACGATGTAATTGTTCTTCCATTTCCGGAGACTTGTAGTCTATAATAAGAAATGATTTATTTCATATGCGCACCTTTGTAATTCACTTTCGACTACAAATTTTGATCAGTCGGAGAGAAAGGTTGATCGCTGCTAAAAGTGACCAACTTTCCAACTTTCGCTACGTAAAATTCAAACTCGAAGTGTACACTTTAACATGTAAATGTATAATCATGAGAAAGTATTGAAATTCGCATCTGATAGAACATACTTCTATTGAGTTTTGCATCGCCAAATACAACAGTCAAAACGAATCTTAAATTCAGAGTCATTATGCTACTCTCAATTTATAATACTTTGTTAAGAGTAACACCAATTACCTAAAAAGACCCAAGGAATCATATAAACTAATTTTTAAGGCACACCTGTTTCGCAGGATTCTTACATTACTTCATTTCCATTTTATTACAACAATTGCTTTCTCCTAGAGGTATTAGCTATGTCATTTTAAGCTCGCCACGTTTAATCGTTGCATACCAAACGTCTTCAAATAGCAACAATTTTTTGGTTTAAAAATTAAAATGGACTTTCGGCTGCTCAGATCAGGTAAATACCCCACGGTGGTTAGGTCAATACTTATCATCTGTAGCAATGAATTTCAGTCGATCATACCTTGCAAAAGAATCATCTACTGTTGGTAATGTTACAAGTGACACAGAAATGGTAATGGAGTTTCAACGCTTCAAAAAGTTAATTTTGCAAAATACTTTGAACGTTTATTCTAACCAAACACTCGCAGTATTTACTTTCTTATCGGTAAAAATATATTTAAGTAAATATATTCCTCCCTTTGGATATCCTCTTCTTATTCGTACGATATAAGAATTGTATGTTCAACCCTGTTTATCAACTCTTCACTGCCCTTACAACAAAGGAAGCACAATTAACTCTTTGCAATATACAATTTACAATATACAATTTACAAATTCTTTGAAATATACAAAACCTTCAGCAGATGAAGCTAAATTACATATCAGTTGCTCAACTAATTGACAAAAATGAAACTACGTACTGGTCTCTTGCTGTCTCAATAATTAAGTCATTTGTTTGTGACTTGGCGTTCCAAATATGAACATTTCATCTCACTGAAGTGCCGACATTCGTCTGCAAAGGAGTAATCTCCAGTATCTCATTTCTGAGCCGACTACCGATAATCACAGGTGAAGACGAGTTCTCTCGATAAGTAGTTATGAATAAACATGCGCAATCTTGCCTATCTTAAAAAGTAGTCTAAAGTGCATAGAAATGGAAAGAAATGTCCCCGTCCTCCGAATGTAAACGGTTTTTCATTATTTCTTCGCGGCGAACAAATAGATAAATTCGTTCGCTTCCTGTTTCGCGTGTCTGACAGTGAGATAATATGCGTGTATCACGCGAGAGCCGGGCAGCAGCATACAAATCATCGAACTCAACGTGTTCGGCCGTCCCGCTATGTTGACGTTTTGTGTGTCAAGTAGCTGTAATAGATATTCTAATCAAGGGGGTTACACGGTTAAAAGGGTCACTGATGCACGGTCCTTTCGTGTTACCTCTTGGATTTCCAGATTTTTCCATTGGGTCATTCTGAATCTCTCCCGGATGATTTGCAGATGCTCTGCGGACTCTCACTTCACAGAATCATAATTAATTCTTAACGCTAGATCTACCAGACAGTTCTTTTTACAGTTATTGAAAAGATAACGTGATTCTCTGAGATGAGAATCATGGGTAGAATCAACAGAAAAGAACACGATTCTCTGAGAAATTACCAAAGAAATTGATTCAACAATACGCAAACACAATGGTAAATGAATAAAAATCTCGATAGACGCACTTTTACAGTTTCCACAGAAAACTGTCAAACAGTTAATTCCACTGGTTGGTAGTATTAATGATAACATACTCGCCCTCATTTCTAATTTCCGTAGCATTATCTAAAATTCCCCGAATATTCGTTCCTAATTTGTACCTTCGATTACACGGATTTTATAAATCAATGTAACACGAACGGCTCGAATGCGCTAATACCGAACGATATTTATCTTTCCAATGACCAAGGAAGCTGAAAGATAAGTGGCTGGGTGCCTGAGAATTCATTTAATTAACGTTAATACACCCGACCGAAGTGAAACGATAAGGGAGCACGTACGGAAGCGTGAACAGTTATGCAATTTATTTTTCATTATCTTCCAACGGCGGTTATTACGTGTTTCCCAGAGGCGATCCTCAATTTTACCGATTTCCATCCTAAATCCGAACGGTCCGCATAGTGTTGCAATTACGGGAAGATAGAGGCTAATCCGCTAGCGGTCAAGATGGAAATAGGTGGAGGGAGCGGCATAGAATCGTGAACAGAAATCACTGGTTCACGCTCGCTGGTATGTCGATGCATTTCTGTGTCAGTGGTAAAGGTCTAATAGCGGGCCCGATTCTCCTATTCCTTTCGGCTTTATTATAGCTGCCGGTACACCGATAATTTCTTCAGGATCGCTCGCAGGGAACGGGTCCGGCGTT